TCCCTAAAGGGTCTCTATCTTTCCCTCCAAGAAATGCAGCTAGGTGGCAAAAGAGTAGTTTAGTTTCCAAGGCCACTGAGATTCTGTTGTGTGTGCTAACAATAGCAATCATTATAGATACCTGTCCAGAGAGCACTGGACAGATATACTAGCTTGTTCCCCAGGATGCTTTACATTACACACATCTACATATGGCAGCTTGTCAACCTAATTATGTCAGTTAATACACTACAGCCATGTTCCTCCAGATAAAAGTGCCTTATTACACTGAGGCTACATCTACACAGCTTCCCTCTTCCACAAAAGCCTATGCAAATGAAGCACAGATTAGCATATTGCTGCACTTAATTCGCATAATTAGGAGCCGTTTTTGTGCAAGAAGGCACCATCTATACAGCATCTTTTTGCTCAAAAAACCCTTCTTGTGCAAGAGCCGTTCTTCATGAAAAAATGAGGAAGAACAGCTCTTGCGCAAAGAGGGGAGGTTTGCACAAAACGGCTCTAATTAATTATGCAAATGAAGTGCAGCAATATTCAAATCTGTGCTTCATTTGCATAGGCTTTTGCGGAAGAGGGAAGCTGTGTAGACGTAGCCTGACAACTTCACAAGAGGTGTAAGGTTTATATCAGTATAGTTAGGGTAATGCATAGACACTGAATCCCTTACATGGGCTGTCCTGTCCATTTCATGGCAGAAGCCATGCTCCTCAATAGGAAATGAGATGAAAAGCTCAGGGCAGCTTCAGACTAGGGATGTTAAATTGCCGTTAATCGACTAGTCGAGTAGCCGATGGAATTTCCATCAACTAGTCGATAGGCACTGCCGCATTCCTCCTTTGAAATGTACAAGCTCACTAAACTCCGTACAGCCCGAGACCAGCGGGAAGTGCCAGCTGACCCAGAGTTTGGGGAAATGCCGCTTGGAACCCACGGTTAGCTGGGGAGTCCCCAGCTGACCCTGGGCTCCATGCTGCTTCGGTGTTTTGAAGGAGCAGCGCCGCACAGCTGAGCTATGGATTAGCTGAGCGGCAGTTGCCCCTTTGAAACGTCACCTTGGAGTTTCAAAGCAGCAGCGCTGCACAGCTGATCCCCGGCTCAGCTATGCGGCTTTGACACTTTGAAGTACCCCTTCCTCCGCCCACTTTGCTGCCTCCATCTCATAGAGGCGGCGGGGGGGAAGAGAAGAGAGAAAAAAAAAAAAAAAGATAAGCAAATGCTTATCGGATAGTTGACTAGTCCTTAATTTCCCTACTTCAGACCCCAATCCCAGATAGGAGCTGGGGCAAGAACCCATGTGTGTGCCTATAAAACTGGGTTGAGAAGCCCCAGGCAACTCCCCTTACTCCCAGCAGAGCTGAAAGACTGGGCTAGAAGATCAGTGGAAATACTCCTGATGGGGACATGCACCAAGGAGAGTAGTGTAGACATGCGCCACCTAATAATATGGGTCAATGTAGGTTTGTAGTAAAGATATACCCCAGATAAACTGAACAGCTATCACATGATGGAGACTTGCAGTCATTGATGGTCAGCCCTAGATCAAAACCAACAACCTTGAGATCAATGGCTTCATCTGCTACCTATACCTAGACCAGTGGTGCGCAACCCAGAATTTTATTTCCGGCTCGGCATACACAGTTTTGGGGGTCACGAATGAAAAAACATTGAGCACCACTGACCTAGACTGTCACCCTGACATCCAGCCCTACTTCGCCTACTCAAACATTGCAGTTCATTGTTCTTGCTAACCACGACTAATCATAGAGGGTTAATGAGCAATAAGCAAGGCAAGACCAGCCTTAAGTAAAGAACCATGTGTTTCAATGAGCTTCATCTCTACAAAAGGTGCCCTTGCATAGGAGAATGGTTGGGGGGGGTGAAGGGGGCTCATACCAAGGATGGAGAGCGACCCAGCCCTGCTCCACCCTCAGCCTAGGTCCAGCCCCAGCTCCCAACCCACCCAGTTCTGTCCCCAGCTCTGCCTTCAGCATAAACTCCTTTTCTGAAGATGGAAGCCTTGGCTGTGCAGTAATGGAAAAGTTGGGGCACCACTGCTGTATGGTCATTATCAAAAAGTAAAAGCATTCTGTACCATTTTTCTTGGGTCCTCTCCACACCACAGCATCATCTGGCTTCTCCAGCAAGAACCCAATCGACATGAGGGAAATGCTTTTGTCCTGGTCTACAAAGACAGGCACCCAGCCACTGTCACACTGATGCACACCCTTGCCCTGGACTTTGAGCATTCGAGGGATGCTGGGGCCACATAGGTCAACATCGAGGATCCCCACCTGCCAATGAATATGGAGAACCTTTCAGCTATACACTAAGACGGCACAGAGGGCCGGCACAGAGGCAAAACATAACTCTCCACTGATTTCTTCAGGCCAGACAACCTTATAAGAAGACTGGCTTAGAAGTCTATAAATCAAATTTGAAATACATAGGAAGCATGGATGAACTCATCAAATCCTGGATGAGTTCAAACAGTTCTTCCCCTTTCCAAGGAAGATCAGTGTATCCTCACTGAACTTCCTCGACAGACAGCTTTCAAATGAGATCTTAAAAACCATGGTCCATCTGCTCTGCAGGACTTTAGAATCTTTGGGGTATTTTCTTTTCCCTGTGGCTGAGGACACAATTCCTCATTGCTGGTGCTACTGTATTATGTGGCAGTTCTTTCTCCTCCTCTCCCCCCTATGTGGTGTGTGCACGCGTTTTAAGTTCTCTTACAGCCTTCACCACTCACATCCTGCTTACGTGTACAGAACTGCCCCTCTTGTTTCAGGTCATTCACCCATCTGCCCTTCCATAGGCAAAGCTCAACGTTCCCTCAGACGATCTCTAAAGGTATCTATTTCCTACTCACACCCTATAACTCGGGCCCACGCAATACGGCCCTGCAGTAGGACAGGCAAGATATCAGGAGGCCTTGGAGAACAAGGGCAGCAAAGGTCAAAGACTCAACTCTCCTGGTCTCCATCCTCACAGCAAGTGAGTGTACCTCAGCAGCTTTTAACGCATAGCATAGCCAAGCCCAGGGCAGACATTACTTAGGAAAGATATACAACATGGTCAGCAATTCCACTGAGACCCAGATGTCAAGGAACCTGAGTTTTACTCCCTGCTCTACCATTGTGTCACTGTGTGACTTTAAACAAAATAGGTCCCTAATCTGTGCCTCAAATTTTCTTCTTAGTGTAATGTGGACAATTATAATGAACAAGTTTTACACAGGGCTTCCATAATACTTTGCCCATATATAGCATCTTTGTCAAAGGACTTCAAAACTTGACTTTACAGCTTTTTGGTCAAATAAATGCAGAAAAAAATCAATTTTATAGTAAAGTTAACTTCTGCTCAATGTCAGCAGCACATGCTTGAAGGATCTTAATGAGTAGATAGCAAAAAGGCTACAAGAATCTTAATACCTACATTATGAGCATAAAACCCCAGACTAGAATCTTAGGGGCACACAGGGAAGGAAATATACTCCTATGACTGCTATATGAAGCTTGCTCACCTTTTTCCCAGCATGCTGTAAAGCTAAAGCCAACTCAGTAGAGATGGTGCTTTTTCCCACACCTCCTTTTCCTGAGAGCACCAGAAGGATGTGCTGAACCCCAGCCAGGTTACTTCTCTCTGCAAAAGACAATGGAACAATACTGAGACATCCCAGCGCCTCCACACAGCCTCATGCTGCGCTGAGGATGTATGCATAGCAATGCCATACGAAGCTAGCAGAGTGACTCCTCACATTTCACAACTAGGACATCCTTCCAATTAAAGGCACTATCACCAAGTAATAAAGAAGAGACACATGTTGGCTAATGGGTTGCAACCTGAATCAAAATGTTATGATGGATATTAAATAGAGAATTATCCACTAGGAACAAAGCTGTGACTCATCAGCTCATCATGCATCCAATGTGCAGTAAGGACTTTGGTAACAATTCAGCAAAACACTTGAACTGACCTCAGTGGGACCTATGCACATGCTTTAATGGTTTTATCACTACAAGTTGAATTAGGGATTTTAAGTGATTAGTCAACTATCCAATAAGCATATGCTTATTGGGTAGTTGAGTAGTGACTCCAATAATTGTGTTTCCACCCTCCCCCCCCCCACCTTGCTGCTTCTATCAGAAAGGGAGTGGGGGGGAGGGGAAGCAGGAGCCAGTGCTGGAGGAGAGCCAGCCTAAAAGCCAGTTCCCTCCAGCACCATTGGGGGGTGAGGGGGAGGGAGGAGGCAAAGGCATAGCAAGGAATTGAACAAGCCAGGAATCAGCTGTTCCAGCTTGCTCATGGTCCCCCCTTAGGGTTGTAAGTGACTAATCGACTATCCAATTATCGGATAACTGACACAGTCGACTAGTTGCTTCCCCCCCATGCTGCCTCACACAGAGGCAGTAAGTGGAGGGGGGGGGGGTAGAGAAGTGGAGGTGCAGGGGGGAGCTGCTTAGAAACCGGTTTCCTCCAGTTCCATGGGCAGGGACACAACAGCAGCATTTCAAAGGCGGAACAGCGTGCTATTACTTATCAACTAATCAAATAGTCTATGGAAATTCAACCAACTATTCGATAAGTTAATTGAAATTTAAAATCCCTAGCTCTGCCTCCACTGTGCATCTGCTTTTTAACTGTAGTAAGAGCCATGCTAAGTGAACATATGGCTAACTAAAATCATGCCAGACCACGGATGTTGCCAATCCAGAGAGTGCCAGTTAGAGAGGTTTAACCTGTACTGATCTGGGCCGGATTGCTGTTTGGGACTTGGAGGGTCCCAATGCTCTGAACCTTCCCTCTCCTCAGTAGCCCAATACCCTAGGAGCTTCCATCTTTCTGTGCTGTTCTGTTTCCTGTTTTTCTGGACATGTCAGTGTCTTATCTTAAATTTTCTTCAGTTTGCTCGCTGCACTGTCAGTGTTTGCTCTGGTATAAGCAGCCTGTTTATGACTAGTACACAGTGTGCTTTCGGTCCTGAGGGAAGGGCTGTAGACACATTCTTTTGAGATTCTTTAAATGGAGTATATCTACAAGGCCTCAAGGGCTGCTGGCAGAGAGAGATGGGGCTGGAAGAAAATCTGAAACTGCTGATTTAAAGATCCTGTTAGAGACAAAAACTACACAGCTCTGAAAGCAAGAAAAGGGAAATAAATTCATTCAACCCTCCCCACCCGTAAACCTGTATTAAAACACTCATTTCACTACCTTAATGACACCTGTGGTGAAATTAATACATTTGAATCATCCCTAGACTGAATTTCTGTATTGAATCACAGCACAGATAAATCCCACACTGCCACTTCTTACCAATGTAATTCAGCCTTGATTCAACGGGACCAGATTTAGGCAGGAGGGAAGAGGAGGATGGATATTGTTACAAATTTCTGGAGCTTGGGGCAAATGACACTGCTTCATGGCAAGTTAGGAACCTTGATTAGAGTTTAACTCACATGCTATATTTGGTGGAGGGCTGGAACTTGTATCTCTAAGACCAAAGATCACTGACCACTTTTAATGACAAATATCTCAAGGGCCACCAGAAATAAAGCTTCTACACCACAGGTTTTCAATAAAACCCTCTTTCCAAAGGCAGATGATATTCATCTTTTGGATTGTGTGTGTTCCTGCAAAGATCTTTACTACTAAAAAAAATCAAATCTGGTTTGTTACATGGGAAGAATCAAGGGAACAATCAGAATAATCTGATTTTACAGCAAGAGCGTCACCTAATTTTGCATTTAGTTATGTTTGTTATTAAATGTTACTATAGGCATTTCATAAAAAAGTGCAGCTCTGCTGCGATTTGCAAGTTTGGCACAGCTCCCTGAAGATTTTTTCTAAGGCCCTAATGATATCTATATAGTCTCAGTAAATATTTTTATTATCTGTACTTCTGCACTAGTGGGTGTAGGTATCCAATGGAGAACTCCCACATCTGACGTAGGGGTAACAGGAATATTGAATTCCAAAGGCTCCTCACATTTCTGAGTGGTCAGTCATGCATCCTGAAAACCCGACTCAAATGTAAACACAATCATTAGTAAATCCAGGAAGAAACAGAATAGCTAAGAATAGTTTGTGTGAATCATCAAGGAATTTCCTGAAGGCTCAGATATCAAAGTAGGGTGTACCTCAGACTGGTTCTGTTCCCTGAATATGAACCATCATAAGCAGTATTTGTGGTCTCCTGTTTAGAATGTGGTCTCCTGCTTCAGAGCAGTTTTCCAGTATTTTAGAGATATACAATAGCAATCAAGGACAAGGAAGACTATTTTATTGAAGAACAAGCTGACTGAGAAAAACAGACTTCATCTTGAAATGGAGCTTGCTTTGACCATGGGAGAAGTAATCCGAAACTCAATCAAAGGTAACTTGTACCAAAGATCTCTGCTGTCTCTTTTGTAATGAAAGGAAGAAATTGCAAACATTTTGATGGGTGTTTAATATCTAACATCCTTCTATGTAGGTTTTTTTTCCCATTCATATAAAAACTTATTTAGCTATATACAGATGAATTCCCTGATAGTCATATAGGTGGGGAGCATATTAGGTTGTGTTTGCAAGGGTAGCATTGCCATTCTCTCAAAGGGGACATGGATGAGAGAAAACAGTGAGTACTAAAGGTAAGATTCATAAAGGGATGTAGCTGCTATTTAAGATACTGAAAGCGAACATGTGGCAGGACTCCAAGCACCTCAAGTCTTCTGTTCAGCTGCCATCTATCCTCAGAAGCCTACATCACTCCTGATGGGTGAACACAATCACCGCAGGATGGCATGCAAGAATTCCCAATAAACCAATAGTCAGGGCTCTCACTTGGCAAGGACTTGTCTATTTTGCCATGTGATTGTGTGCTCTGGGATGGGTGTCCCTCAGCCATTCTTATTGTACCTGGACTACTTTGTATGAATAATTATTCCTTGGGCCAGAAAGATTGATGCTACATCCTACTGGTTAGGTCACTAACTCAGTGTGTGGGAACCCCAAATTCCAGGGAACATTTAATGATTTATATAAAGTGAAATAGCTCCCACCAGAGCCTGAGACACCTACCCCCAAACACTCAATAGCAGAGGTCAACATACTCCCTAAGGAAACATGAGCAAATCAAGAAGAACAGGGATTTGAAAATGGTTCCCTCCCACTTCGAAGCTAGTGCTTTGATCACCGGGCTATTGGTTACAATGGAGATGCAAGTGTGGATGCGGAGAGCGGCAGCTAATTTTTGTGGATACAGATTTGGATGCAGATACACAATTTGTATCTGCACCAGCTCTAACCATCAGTCTCCATCTCTCATGCATGCACATGTGAGCAAAACAGAGACAAAAGGCTGACTTGGCTTAGGAAATCTAACCTATTCTCCCCCCGCCCCCATCAACCTCATTATACAAAGGCTTGAGCTAGTTTAACTATGTCACTCAGAAATGAGGATTTTTAACTCGCCTAAGTGAAATAGCTGGGTTCATCCAATTTTCTAGTGTAGACCAACCCTTAGGCTGATCTAGACTGGCAAGATTTTTGCAAAAACATGCCAGCTGTCTACACTGGCCGCTTGAATTTGCGCAAGAGCGCTGACTTTGTAATGTACAAAATCAGTGCTTCTTACGCAAATACTTTCACGCTCCCACTCAGGAAAAAGCCAGTGTAGACAGGGAAGAACTGTTTGCGCAAAAAAGCCCCGATGGCGAAAATGGCGATCAGGGCTTTCTTGCTCAAAATCGCATCTAGACTGGCCACGGATGCTTTTGCGCAAAAGCATCCGTGCCAATCTAGACGCGCTTTTGCAGAAATACTTTTAACAGAAAAACTTTTCCGTTAAAAGTATTTCCACAAAATCATGCCAGTTTAGACGCAGCCTTCGTATCTAAGTCCAGGAGCAGAATGATACCTGTGAATCCCAAGCAGAGTTCTGTGCCTTCCTCTGGACTACAGTAGGTTCCTATCATCCTTGGGTTTACATCCCATCCCTTCCCTTGGCATTATTTTATTGGCTCATTTGTTCATCTTTAAGCTCAGCACACTACACCACATTTTGTCAGTCCTAGACTTAGGTACCTAACTCTCTCCATGCCTTGGCACCTAAGTCTGGGCTGAGAATTCCACTGGGAAAAAGGTGCCATTATGCTCTTTTAAACAGTGATTAGGAAGATTTAAGTGTTCCCCAATAGGTTTTTGTAGGTTTCCTTTACATATATCTGATTTGTGTCCATTGATTCTTTCCTGCAGAGACTGTCCAGTTTGTCCAATATATATAGCAGTGGGGCATTGCTGACATTTGATGACATAGATCAAATTACTGGATGTGCAGTCAAATGACCTTTTGATTTGGTAGCTTATGTTATTGGCTCTGGTGATGAATTCTCTAGTATAGATATGTGGGCAGAGTTGGCATCACGTCTGGTTGCAGGGCTGGGTTCCTAGATGCTTATGATGTGGCTGTGTGGCATGGTTACCGGAAATAATTTGTTTCGGGTTGGGGGGTTGTCTCAAGACCTCTGAGAACGAGGGATCATTTTCCAAGATGGGTTGTAGATTGTGTAAAATGTGCTGGAGGGGTCTGAGTTGTGGACTAGAGGTAATAATAAGTGGAGCTCTGTTATTTTCTCTTTTGGGTCTGTCTTGAAGTAGTTCATGTCTGGAAAGATACTATCAATTGACTTTGATTCTTATCTGTTTTGTATCCCAATCTTCAGATACTTACTGATTCCCTCTGGCTCCCTGGCTCCCACTTCCCTCCTTTTTAAAAAAAAATTATTGGTGTCACATTAGCTATCTTCCAGTAATTAGGTATAGAAGCTAGTTTAAAGGACAGGTTACAAGCCACAGTTGTTAGTTCCACAACTTCACATTTGAGTTCTTTCAGGACTCTTGGGTGAATGCTAACTAGTCCCAGTGACTTGTTACTGTTAAGTTTATCAATTTGTTCCAAAATCTCCTCTAATGACACCTCAATCTAGGACAATTCCTCAGATTTGTCACCTAAAAAGAATGGCTTGGGTTTAAGAATCTCCCTAACATCCTCAGCAATGAAGACCAAAGCAAAGAATTAATTTAGTTTGCTCAAGCTCTTTTGTGGATTTAGCCCCAGCTCCTGGTCATATGGGAAATGAAAATATAGCAAGAGTAGGGCTGAGTTAGGTTACAAATTCTTGGCAGTTTCATCAATTTCTGCAAAGTCCATATGGTATGGTTGAGAAAAAAGGTCTTTCATACAAGAACCGGTGCTGGGGTCTTTTAGGTACAGTACTGTCTACACTACAAAGAAGCCCAAATCCCCAGTTAGACTACTATATATTCGTGCTTAACTGTATTTCGGGGGCTCTGTTTTAACTGCTGAGGACTAACCCTGTCACAGCTGATTCGGACCTTGTAGCTAGACTAACAGTGCCATCAGCGACACCGCGGCCTTGCTCCGTATCTGTTCGCTGTGTAACACGAGATGCGATTCGCTAGTCTCGCCTTTGCTTTTCGCCTCCCCGCGCGCTACCCGAGTGGGGCGAGGCCAGCTGGCCCGAGCGGCTCTGTTTTAACTGCTGAGGACTAACCCTGTCACAGCTGATTCGGACCTTGTAGCTAGACTAACAGTGCCATCAGCGACACCGCGGCCTTGCTCCGTATCTGTTCGCTGTGTAACACGAGATGCGATTCGCTAGTCTCGCCTTTGCTTTTCGCCTCCCCGCGCGCTACCCGAGTGGGGCGAGGCCAGCTGGCCCGAGCGCCCTCAGGCAGCCTCAGCCGCCGAACGGGGCCTGGGCCCCCGCAAAGGGGACC